TCGCTACATCCTTAAGCTTCCTTGGACAGAGAACTCGTGTGTACTTCTTCATGACTTCCCAGGCTCCGCAGCTGCCAGCACACTGTGAGCATTTGGGAAAGGGTGGGAGGAGAGAAGGGATGTAGAAGTTGAAAAGTAAACACTGGGTGAAAGAATGACAGCATGTTCACCCTGTGGAGAAACTTTAATCCTATCCTCTTCGTTATCACTCTTTTAAATGGGGTCATAGCAAGCTCCCTAATTAGATTGGGGGGTGGACCTGGCGGGAGTATGAAGAGCAGTTTTTAAAATCCTTTAAGATACTTCAGGGGTGGATTAGCAAACCTTTCTTGATCAATAAAAACGTGGATGGGCTTCAAGGTATCTGTCTGTCTTATTAGTGTACACAAATCACTATCTGATATATGAAAAAGCACTATAAAATAGCGCAGTAGTTAGATCTTGGGAGAAATAAGGCCTTTCGGCCTCAGCTTCCTTGACAGAAAGTTAATGACATTTATCTTATAGGGTATGATCGGGATTCAGTAAGATTATGCATGAGAAGTGGTTAGCACAGGCTAACATAGTAAGTTCCTGTTAGTGTTCACTACTATTTTTCTGTTTAAAATTTCTTGAGTCACTAGACCCAGCTGTGGGTGAGGGGCATACGAACGAGGGCCGAGTTTGGAGGGAGGGTGGTGCCAGAGGGCCTTGCCTTCTGCTCCGTGGCTCTTTCAGAAAGTTCCATGGGATTCAGGAAAGATAGCAGCCACATAGCCACACTGCCTCCTCATCTCCGTTCACCAGCCTGTCTGCTTCTCCTACCCCTGATAGGCAGAGCACTCTCCTTGAGTCTCCCCACATCTGCTCCCCAATACCTCAGGCCCAAAGGAGCCTCATTCTGCACCAGCTTCTGCTTCCTTCTTCTCAAATGTCCTTCATCATAAGAACCGTCTACCTGTTACCTACTCTTGCTTTTCTAGAACAGACAGGTTCTAGAATATATGTGTGTATATACATACATATACGTATACATATGTATATATATATATATAGTGTGTATACAATCAGCAATGGTTCTTGCTGATATATTGGTATATATGTATTATACTGATGGGCTGGGAAAATGGCCCAGTGGTTAAGAGCATGTACTTTCAGAGGACCAGAGTTTGAAGCCCAGCACCCACATCTAGAAGTTCATGGCTACCTGTAACCCCAGTCTTTTTGGAGTCCTGGGGCACCTGCATGCACACAATACACATGCAGACGAGCAAACATAGACACAAATAAAATAAGTCTTTTAAATACGTAAATAAAACACAAGGATACTATACTGAGCCAAGTGTGGCGGCTCACACCTACAATCCCAGCAGTCAGTAAGCTTGCCAAAAGTTCGGGGCCAGCCTGGGCAGCATGAGTTCTAGGCAAGCCTGAGTTGTACAGCAAGACTGAAAGAAAAAAATACATAAATACACAGCAAACTTAGTCATATTTGCAAGTAATCATTGTTAACAGTAAGAAAATTTGTGATGAGAAAAAGTTCCTGAGGATATATTGGTAAGTGCTCTTTCTAGCAACCTTTCTCTGTATGTACCCATGTACATAAGCGTCTGTTTCACAGAAGCTTTTCCACTTTAAATTCTATCCTGAATATTTTTCCATGTTTTATTTTTAATCCCTGTAGCACAATGTTAAAGGAAGTATAAACAGCCTATTATCTGGATGATTCACGTTCAACTTATTGAGTCATCCCTTACTACTGGGTCGCTTTCCGCGGTTTTAAGATAAACAGCACAGAGGAGGAACGCCCCTCCTTCCATTTTAGATTGTTAGGAAAGTCGCTGGGAGCAGGACTCTTGCATCCAAGGGCGCCTGCAGCTTTTAAATGCTTTAATGCACTCTGCCAAGCGGCTTTCCAGGAAGCTGTGCGAGAATGCATTACTACTCACCGTCACTCGGCTTTCTTCTCATTTTATTAAAAGGATTTTTTTCATCTGTAATCAAACATGGCATTTCATTGCTTTGTTCTACATTTCTATGATTAAAGGTGAAGTTGGAAAGGACAGGGCTGAGGCTCAGTGACAGAGTAACTAGCCTAGCATGTGTGAGGCCCATGTTGCATGCCCAGAAACATGGGTGGGGACGAGTTTCACGCACGCGTGCGCACACACACACCACACACACACACACTTATGCTTTTTCTTGGTGATGCATTTCTTTATGTTCTTTGTCCATTTAGTCATTAGACTGCTTACATTTTCCTGGATGATTTTGATGAGCTCTTTGTAAGAGGAAGGTGTTAGGTCTCTTGCAGTGAAGCTAACTGGAAATATTTTCCTGACTTGCTTTGCCACTTGTTTCTAAGCTTCAGTGTCTGTAGAGGTGATGGGAACTGCAGTGGCATTTTTCTTATTTTCACCTCTGGGATTTCTTCCATTGCTATTAAACTCAGACCCTTCTCCATCCATATTACCAGTTTCATCCTCAAGACCTTGCTGGAAAGTAGAAATTAAAAGTCTCTTTCTGGTTGGCAGAGGCAGGCAGATCTGAGTTTGAGGCCAGCCTGGTTTACAGAGTGAGTTCCAGGATAGCCAGGCCTACACAGAGAAACCCTGTCTCAAACAAACAATATAGTACAACACAAAAACTTCTCCTTCTCCAGAAATCTGTCAACCAGGAAGTAACACAGATGTACACAGAGCTAAACAGCTTGAAGGAAGACAGCTTATCCTAGGGAACGGAGGGAAGGTCAAGATGACGTCAGGGGCTACATTTAGCTGAAACAGTTCATCACTTGGTTTTACTGTCTTTTTTTAAAATTTGAGCCATTTAAAACATGCACAGAATTGTGCTGTTTCTAGAACACTTGTGAGAGGAACGTGATGGCTCAAGCTAGCTCATCCATCCCTTCCTCCTGACTCTGAAAGTTACACAGCAACTACAACTGAACACCCCCAAAGCGAGCATCCATTTGGTCTTCTCACAAGTCAGTCCAATGCTGTCTCAGTCTCATCTGTGAAATTCTCGGACCAGTGAAATGGCTCCGTGGATAACAGCCCTTGTGTTCAAGCCCCAGAACATGAGTTCAGTTCCCAGAACCACATGGTGAAAGGAAAGAGTGCTCACTCCTGCAGGCTGCCCTCTGACCACCATGCCCTTGTCTCAGCACACACACAAATGTGCACAGAACCAACGAATCGAGTAATTTGGGGAAAAAAAAGGCTAAGGAAATTCTCTTCCGTTTTGGTCTTATTGCCATGTTCACTGGATTTTAGAAAACACCTCACAAAGAAATAAGTGAATTGAAAAAGTAGAACAGGAAATGGGCAACCTGGGTACAACCACGACAACTGCTACTTAGTGACAGTGACGGAGATCTCCAAACATCAATCAGCTCAGCTGACAAGGCCATTGCTTGCTTAGGGAGCCTCCACAACAACGATTTTCAACTGTGCATCACGATCCCCACATGGGTCGCATATCGGACATACTTACATTACGACTCATAACTGTAGCAAAATTACAAAAACAATTTTATGGGTGGGGGCCACCACGACGTGGCAGCATTAGGGAGGCTGAGAACCACTGCTCCACAGAAATGCTTTCTTTGCAGGGAGCTGGAAATACAGGGTACAGAAACTCCCTGCCAAACCTGAGGACTTGAATTTGACCTCCAGGAGGCATATGCTATAATGGGAGAACCTACTCCAGGAAGCTGTGCTTAGACCTCAGTGCTAGAGCCACGCATGCACACATGCTACATACACACGCTACATGGCATGCACACACGCTACATGCACATGCTACATGGCATGCACACACGCTACATACACATGCTACATACATATACACACATATCGGATAGAACTGGAACAGCCTTTTTATAAGAATACTTTTTCAGTGTGTCAGGGGGTTTTAAAGATGTCTATATTTTTTATACAGTAATTCCATTTCTAAAAATCTATTTTAAAGGAATCATTAGAAATATGTGTCCCCAGATGATCCACTACATTCCAAACAGTTTCAAAAACAGGAACATTAGTACAGGATTATTGGCAGAATCTATAATCATACATACATTCCAGGATATTATATGCTCATTAAAATCATGTTTAAAAATATTCTCGTGTCTAATGGTTAAGAATATGCTTCCTGAACCAGGCTGTGGTGGTAATCCCAGCACTCGGGAGGCAGAGGAAGGCGGATCTTTGTGAGTTTGAGGACAGCCTGGTCTACAGAGTGAGTACCATGACAGACTCCAAAGCTACAGAGAAACCTGTCTTGAAAAACAAAACAAACAAAAAGAGAAAAAATATGCTTCCTACATTGAGCATGGTAATATATACCTTGATATCCCAGCTTTCAGGAGGCTTAGCCAGGGAGATCATGAGTTATAGGCAAGCCTGGACTATGTAGTGAGATCCTGCTACAAAATCGAAAATGGGCTGGAGAGATGGTTCAGTGGGTAGAAGTTTTTACCCTGCAATCGTGAGGACCCAGGTCTGAATGCCTTCACGCATAAAAGCCGGAGGTTGCTATGACATGCCTGTAACCCAGGGAGAGGTAGAGGGTAGCAGCTGACAGACAGCTTCTGAAGGCTGCCTAATCAAAACCATGAGCTTCTGGTTCAGTGAGAAGCATTGTCTCAAGGCAATAGAGGAAGATTCTCAAATCATGTTTTGACTTCTGCATGAATACACAAAGGCATTCACATCTGCATTCACATAATACATAATAAAAGGAAACTTATGCTTCCTATATAGTGTTATCTTTTAAGGAAAAATCATCTTACAAAAGAATCATACATACCTAAAATTGCGACAAGTTCTTTAGGTACGTGTAAGGAAACACACAAATCTACAGTATGATTACAGATTCTCTTTTTTTTTTTAATTGTATTTACTTAGAAGCATTCAGAATGTCAACAAAACAGCTGCAATTTTTTTTGCAATTACAGAGTGGTATTCAGTTAACAGAACAACAATTATCTTCGTATAAGCTGCATCAGAGACAACTGAAGATGAAACAAAAACAAAAACAAAAAAAAAACTACTGTCCCCATATATAACTAATTTGTGCTGTGCACCAACAAGAACCTGCTTTAAATTTCCATGCCAATTTACAACCCCCAGACTGTACCAGGCAAGGTTAGTGGCTATTGAAAATACCACTAGGACAGGGCTATCTAAAGACACATTCGGTAGTGTGTTAACTATACAAAAAAAGACACTGTACAGTTTAAAAACAAATCTTACACAGCCTTACATTTCAATTTTTTTCTTTAAAAGGAGTGAGTTGTGTACAGGGGGGTTAAATGCTTTATAGACAAGAACAAAAACTGCGCTAGAACCAACTTATTCATCATCATCATCTTCTTTCTCATCTTCATCTTCCTCTTCTTCCTCCTCCTCTTCATCCTCTTCGTCTTCCTCATCATCTTCCTCTTCCTTCTTTTTCTTGCTCTTTTCCGCCTTGACCACCCCCTTTTTTGCTGCATCGGGTTTTCCTTTAGCTCTGTAAGCAGCAATATCCTTTTCGTACTTCTCCTTCAGCTTGGCAGCCTTCTTTTCGTAGGGCTGCTTGTCATCTGCAGCAGTGTTGTTCCACATCTCTCCCAGTTTCTTTGCAACATCACCAATGGATAAGCCAGGGTGTTCTCCTTTGATTTTGGGGCGATACTCAGAACAGATCAAGAAGAAGGCCGAAGGAGGCCTCTTGGGTGCATTGGGGTCCTTGAACTTCTTTTTGGTCTCCCCTTTGGGGGGGATGTAGGTTTTCATTTCTCTTTCATAACGAGCCTTGTCAGCCTTGGCCATGTCTTCAAATTTCCCCTTTTCTTTAGCAGACATGGTCTTCCACCTTTCTGAGCACTTCTTGGAGAACTCTGAGAAGTTGACAGAAGCATCCGGGTGCTTCTTCTTGTGTTCCTCCCGGCAGGTTTGCACAAAGAATGCATACGAGGACATTTTGCCTCTCGGCTTCTTAGGATCTCCTTTGCCCATGTTTAGTTGATTTTCGTCCGCGAGGCACAGAGTCGCCCAGTGCCCGTCCGGCTCTTGCTTGCCCCGGCGCTGTCTCTCTACAGATTCTCTTGACATTCTGGATTCTCAAATTGTTCTATGATCCACATGTTCTATAGTAGGTCAATGGTTTTTTACAGATGTTTGTTCTGTACAATGAAAGACAAATCCTTGCAACTGACTGCAAGTTCACCGACTGTTCCCAGATGCCTTTCCAAAAGACTAGGTGACAGTGTCAGGCACAATGTCTACTGAGCCCTTTATGGAAAGGATACAAAGACATGCCTTGTCTTTTCTTAAGAACTAAACCAAGAGCTCGAGGTATAGCTCCATTGGTAGAATGCTTTCTTAGCATGCATGAAGGCCTGGGTTCATTCCTAATACTTCATAAAATTGGACATGGTGACACACCTATCCCAGCACGAGGGAGGTAGAGGCAGGAAGAGTCAAAAGTTCAAGTCATCCTCAGATATATAGCAAGTTCAAGGTCAACCTGGGATAGATAAGACCCTATCTAGGTAGGTAGGTAGTAAGTAGGTAGGTAGGTAGGTAGGTAGGTAGAAAAACAGATGGACAGAAATACAGACAGATGTAGCAAAATACTAATTGGTCTTAATAATAAAATCCCAGAGTCAGATATAGGGGTTAATGCTGAAGATCAGAAAAGCAAAAATCCTCCTCAGACTGCACCTTCAGACTGTCCTGAGATCCTGCCTTTTCCCGCCTTATAGTCCTCTCTCTGCCCAGCCACCTTCCTAGTGCTGGGATTAAAGCGTGGGATCTCAAGTGTTGGGATCACCTTTGAGTGAGCTCTGTTTCTCTTTTAGACAGATAATCTCGCATAGCCCAGGCTGATTTTGTACTAACAGAGATCCCTCTGCCTCTGTCTCCCTAGTCCTGGGATTAAAGGTGTGTGCTACCACTGCCTAGCCTCTGGTGGCTTAGCTCTGCACTCTGATCTTCAGGCAACCTTTATTTTGTTAAAACACAAATCACTACAGAGGCAGAGGCAGGCAGATCTCTGAGTTCGAGACCAGCCTGGTCTACACGAGCTTGTTCCAGGACAGGCTCCAAAGCTACAGAGAAACCCTGTCTCAGAAACACACACACACACAAATCACTACAGATAGGTAAGTAGGTAGGTAGGTAGGTAGGTAGGTAGGTAGGTAGGTAGGTAGGTAGACAGAGTAAATAGTATTCCGTTCAGTCCAAGGCCAGTCCGGCCTACACAGTTAATACTTCGTGCTTTGAAAAGTTGAAGCCCTGGGTTTTGCATTTAAATTTATCTTCCCCAGTTCACCTCTTTACCTCCAAGTCACCTGAGTCACCAAAAATAAAGGTTTGCCTCCAACCTAACAGCTCATTCCTTCACCGGCCCTCTGCTTGCCAAAAAAACAGTTCCACCCATCTCAGCGGAAATAGATCTCAGATCCTGGTCCAACCTTTGCCAGGTGAAGACGTTCCCGTAGGCCAGCACCTGCCGCTCATACCACTTGCTCTGATTTTATTACTGATGACTGAAAATACTCCAAACGATGCCCCCCATCCTATTGTCGTGCCGTGGTTGTTTCCGCTGGAGCTGCAGCTCAGGAATTGTGGTCACGCCATTTTCCCTTCCTCTGCCACCCAGGGTGTGTTGAAAGCATCCCATACATTTATTTATCCTTCATTCATTTTATGTATATATACTAAGCGTCAGTATTTGTTAAGTGTCCCCAGGTCTGTGAACTCGCCAGCAAACACAGATTCCCAGGGAAACCAGCAAAACAGAAAATGAGGAAGCAAAGGAGACGCCACCAATCTTTGAATTAGGTTATAAGCCTCATTTGGTTTTTGTTATCATTTGTTTGGTTTTAACTCATATGGGGCTTTTCGGGGGGTGGGATTTGGAGATTTGGGGGGTTTATTGAGTTTTTTTTTTTTGTTTGGGGAGAGGGGCAATCTTTCTTATTTCCCTTAGGCTGGGGAAAATAAGTTTGCTACTTCTCCCAGCTTTGCTAGGAACTGAGGAGCCTATGGCTGGGTTCAGAGCAGCCCCACAGCTGCTACTGTGTTCTATCTTACTGGAAACACGGAAGTTCAAACTGCACCAGCTTAGTCCTTGTGCGAAAGAAGTTAGAAATGTTCACAAATACCATTATTTATTCATTTTCCCTGCAATGGCTCAGTGTGACATAGCTTTACATTTGAAGCTAATATAAACCATCTTAAGCATGAGAATTCCTGCTAATAAACTTATCATTTCACTTGTCACTTAACCACTTAAATTATAGCTTCCTTAGCAGTACATAAGGGTGATGATATACCGTTCACCTGGACTAGTCTTCAGATCTTATGAGAAAATACAAAATAAATTCTGATTTTACACTCCTCCAGGAATACATCCTAAGGCTGCCAATGGGTTCCTTCACCACGATTAAGGCCAAAACCTAAATACACAGTATTGCCACATAGTATCAGAGTTAATGTCACGGTTTTTCTTGCCCTGCTGACTCTTCTGCATCCGCATTTTGACAGTTTGGAACATTAAATGAAATAAGGTTTGAACACAAGCACTGAAATATTGTGACAGTCAGTCTGATAACCAAGGTAGGTACAAGTGGCTAACTATAATAGGAGGAGTTTTCATCCACAACAGCAGCCCCCAAATAACCGCTTAATATTATGTCTCTGTGTGGTTATTTGGGAGCTGGCCAGAGGACCTGACAAAAAAAAACTGCACTTACAACTACCATGAGGGTAGTATACACAGCCTGGATACACTGGACAACAGGGTAATCAGAGTCCTGAGTGAAATAGAGGAAGAGAGGGACCGGTTTCATTTTGCCCCTCATGATACACACAATTCTAAATTTAGAAACTGTAATTATCTGGAATTTTCCATTTAATAGTTTTTTTAGCCTATGACTCCACACAACTGTAACCTAGGAAAATGAAACTGTACAAAAGGGAAGAGGGTGGTGTACTCTGTTTAAAAATGCAGAGCTCAGGCCAGTGAGACAGCTCAGAGGGTAAGGACACTTAACTCCAAGCCTAAGGACCTGAGGCTCACACATCACACACCCACACACCCACATACACACTAGAAGAATAAAGCAGAATTTTCTTTAAAAATGAAAAGCTCGTCAAGCAATGATGGCCCACGCCTTTAATGCCAGCACTCGGGAGGCAGAGGTGGGCGAATATCTGAGTTCAAGACCACCATGGTCTACAGAGCTTGTCCTGGGACAGGCTTCAAAGCTACAAAGAGGAATCCTGTCTCAAAAAAAAACAGAGAGGAGGGGCAAAACTCTTCATACATCCACATATGACCTAATTCTGAGAGGTTTTGGTCTGGGTTTCTATGCATGCATGTGTGGAGGTCTTCTCTGCTCACAGCTACTTTGTACATATTTGTGTGGAGAATCAGAGGGTTTTAAAAATGTTAAAAATTACTTTTCCACGTGTTCTTCCAATTATTTATTTACTTATTTATTTTTGAGGTATTAGTCTCCCTTTATAGACCCAGTTTCTCCTGGAACTAGCTCTATAGACCAGGCTGGCCTCGAACTCACAGAGATCCACCTCCCTCTACCTCCCAAGTGCTGGGATTAAAGGTATACACCACCATGCCTAGCTACTTTTATAGATATATCTTTGACACTTGGGTCTTTCCCTAATGGATAACCAATTTCAATGCTCCCTTTTTTCTTCAATTTGAAGCACCCGAAACATTGAAATTGCATAAAGTTTCCACATCATCTTGAAGAGGCCGATTGCTCTTGCATAGTATCCTACCTTAGAATATAACAGTTTCCATCTTGGTTCAGATGTAAAATTGCAGCTTTCATTACTTTTTCCTTATATAAGTCATGCTTACTTCTTGTTATAGTCTTAAATATTTTCCTTCAATTTACTCATTCAGTTTTCTAAAGCAATGAATTAGAATATTCCCTGGTATTGAACCTCCTCATTGGTTATAAGGTTCCAATTCTATGATTTTTATGAGGTATAGCAAGCATATAAATATGTATTTCCAGTTTACATTTTCATGTATATGTATGCTTAACATACTGTAAATTAGATGTCAGGTATTCACCACTGGCTCTCCTCAAGTAGTAAAACAAAGGGCTGCAATGCTGGCCCAGCACTAAAGGCATGTGTGCTCTTCAGGGTACTCCAGCTGAGTCCCAGCACCCACATGGTGCCTTACAATCATTTGTAACTCGAGTTCTAGGAGACTTAATGCCCTCTTCTGGCTCCGTCAGTTACTGGACACACAGGGTGAACACACATGCAGGCAAAATACTCAGAAACATAAACTAAAGCTTAAGATATTAATATTTTATTATATTCATATAAGAAAAATGTATGAAAATTCATTGATACAGCCATGGCCCTTTATACTCCTTTCTCTTTTTTAAAGCTATTTTTAATAATAAAATGAAAGATAAAAACAAAAACTAACACACTGGACTTGAACAAAACAAACAGAATAAAAAGAGTTCACAAGAAGGCACAAGAAACAGAGACTCGTGATTTGAAAGCTCAGAGTCTCATAAAAGCACTAAGCTGGAAGCCATAGCATCTGTACAAAGGACCTCATGCAGACCCGTGCAGGCCTCTGCATGCTGCCTCAGTCTTCGTGAGTTCACATGATACTCCCCTCTAAAAGAGAGGAAATGGGGCTGGAGAGATGGCTCAGCAGTAAAGAGCACTGACTGCTCTTGCAGAGGACTCAGGCTCAACTCCCAGCACCCACATTGTGTCTCACACCCATCTGTAAAACCAAGCTCCAACACCTTCACACAGACATACACACAGGCAAAACACCAATGCATATAAAATAAAAATAACTTGATTTAAAAATAAAAAATAGATAACTTTTAAGTTAAAAGACATGAAAGACAGACTGATGAAGCAAAATGTGTCAAATTAAAGTTTCAGAAGAAAAAACCAGTGAGAAAGGAAAATATGAAACCCTACTAGCTGAATGCCCCAAATGATGAGAGGTGCCAGCCGCAAAATAAAGCCTAAGGCAGTGGTTCTCAACCTGTGGGTAGCCATCCCTTTGAGGTCAAATGACCCTTCTACAGGGGTCACCTAAGACCATT